TTTTGGTTTTAACTGATTACTTTTCTAAATGGGTGGAAGCAGGTGCATACACTCAGATACGTGAGCATAAGGTCATCGCATTCATATGGAAAAACATAATATGCCGTTTTGGCATCCCCAAAGAAATCAGCTGCGACAACGGACCTCAGTTCGTCGGAAAGAGAACGACTAAGTTTTTCGAAAAATGGCACATCAAATGAATACTCTCCACGCCATATCACCCTGACGCCAATATTCAAGCCGAATCCTCCAATAAAGTAATACTGAATATATTGAACAAGAAGCTTGAGGATGCTAAAGGGCTATGGCCTGAACTACTACCAGAAGTATTATGGGCATACCGCACTACGCCAAAAACCAGCACAGGAGAAATGCCATATTCACTAGTCTACGGGACTAATGCAATTATACCTGTCAAGGTCGGAGAACCCAGTTTGGGATACTCCAACGAGAGAGGGCCAAGCAATGACAAAAGTAGGCTACAAGATCTGGATGAAGTCGAAGAATGGAGAGACATGGCCCACATAAGAATGGTAACCCAAAAGCAGCAAGTAGAAAGATATTATAACAAGAGAGCCAGACTACGTCCTCAAAGCTAAAACACAAACATCGAAAGACTCTAATGAGGGAAAATTGGGAACGAATTGGGACGGACCATACAAAATCATAGCTGCAGCAAACAAATGAGCATTCCAGTTAGAGACTATAGGGGGAAAACCACTCCAAAACAACTAGAATGTCGCCCATCTCAAGTACTTCCACTTCTAAAAGAAGGCGTCACCTAAGTCGTACTCTTTTTCCCTCACCCGGGTTTTGTCCCAATTAGGTTTTCCCGGGGAGGTTTTTAACAAGGCGGCAAGGGAGACACCTCAAGGATCGAAGTGCTGTTCATTAACTCGACTCGACGACATGATCTATAGAACGAAGTAATGAAGGGACTGGATATAGATAATCGAATCTCCATTGTATGTGCAGAGTCAACATGTGATTCTCACAGGAATTTAATCGAATCTCCATTATATATGTAGAGTCGACATGTGATTCTCACAAAAATTTAATCAAACCTCCATTGCATGAACAAAGTCGACATGTCTTCCTACGGGAATACAATCAAATCTCCAATAAGAAATAGCCAAGGCTAACGACGATAATATGAGTTCGACCTCATTCAAACTACGACGGGATTTTACTTCGACGAATGTTCGAAGCAACATCCCAATGGCCAAGGCCATCAACGATAATATGAGTTCGACCTCGTTCGAACTACGACGGGATCCTACTTCGATGACACTTCGAAGCAACATCCCAATGGCCAAGGCCATCAACGATAATATGAGTTCGACCTCGTTCGAACTACGACGGGATCCTACTTCGACGACAGTTTGAATCAACATACCAATGGCCAAGGTCATCGACGATAATATGAGTTCGACCTCGTTCGAACTACAATGGGATCTTACTTCGACGATATTTCGAAGTAACATCCCAATGGCCAAGGCCATCGACGATAATATAAGTTCAACCTCGTTTGAACTATGACAAGATCCTACTTCGACGATAGTTTAAAACAACATCCCAATGGCCAAGGCCATCGACAATAATGAGTTTGACCTCATTCGAACTACGACGGGATCCTACTTCGATGACAGTATGAAGCAACATCCCAATGGCCAAGGCTAACGACGATAATATGAGTTCGACCTTGTTCGAACTACGACAAGATCCTACTTCGACGACAGTTCGAAATGGCCAAGGCCATTGATGATAATATGGTTCGACCTCATTTGAGCTACGACGGGATCCTACTTCGACGACAGTTCGAAGAACATCCCATTGGCCAAGGCCATCGACGATAATAGGAGTTCGACCTTATTCGAACTATGACGGGATCCTACTTCGATGACAGTTCGAAGCAACATCCTAATGGCCAAGGCCATCGACGATAATATGAGTTCGACCTCATTCGAACTACGACGGGATCCTACTTCGATGACACTTCGAAGCAACATCCCAATGGCCAAGGCCATCAGCGATAACATGGGTTCGATAAATGCAAGAAAGAACAAATCGACAAAATAAATTTTACATTACATCAAAATATTATTTACACTTGCCCTTACAAACGGGCTCAAGCATGCCCCCCTGCAAAAACCCCCAAAACAAAAGCAAGTACAAACAAAGATTACATATCATCCCCGATGGGGTAATCATCTTCGTACCATAGATCCGAAGCAAGGCGGTTCGCATCATCAGAGTTGATGTCATCCCCGTCAGGTGTGAGGGGTTCGTACCTGCATGTCTCACGAGCTGCACGAGCTTCGGTGTGCACGGCCTGAAGCCCCGCCTCAGTAGCCCTTCTCTCGGCACAAAAAAGCCTTATACACATCAAGCCTAGCCTCCGCAAGGATCCAAAACTCATATAAACGATGGGGAACAACCGGATTGGCTGAGGCACGAGACATAGAAGGCTGAGAATGTAACACTTTTCAAATTTATAAAAAAGTTTCGAGACACGCTAATTATAGAATTAAATTATTTTTATTTTTATTTTTTTCCTTCTTGCCTANATAAGATGGGCACTTAAAAACAAAGGCTCTTCAAGCCTTAACCAAAACACTGCCATCGTGAAAGTAGAAAGCGGAAGAGACGAATAAAAAACAGAACATTAAGTATTGGCTCAAGGAGTATTGAGGTGAGTTGATATAACCCTTTACTAAAGTGGTTCAACTCACAAAAGCACGTACACAAGGTGTTTGATTAATTGCATAAAAGAATTAATATATACTTAATTGGAGTAGTAAGTACCTATCAGCTTAGAATTATTTTCTAGCTAAAGTTTAGATGACTATTTGGATATATGTGCATAAATTTCAGATTTGTATGTTATTCTTATATGCCATTTTCATGTTGAAAATTCATGAAGGATCAAGAAACCATCTCCTCTTTACTACGTATTATTATTAGGTTATCAAGTTAACTATGTTATATGGACTAGCTATGAACGAAATAGAAACCAATCTAGGTTTGTGCAACAGTATTGTTTAGTATGGTACTTGCGAAGATTTTACTAAAGTTTTGTGTATGTAAACTATGTAGGACGTAACATTTGATGAATATGAATATAAGGAAGAATTCATACAGAACATTTTTAAGGTTTTAGATGCCAGTGTTTTATTATATCATTTTATGATGGTGGTATTTGAGTCAATTTGTTCCTATTTCTATTATTTTATTATTGAATATTTATTTCATTCTTATGCCATGCCTTACATTTAAGGATACCAGTATGATTATGTGTAAAAAAAATTTAGACTTGAAAAGTCGCAAGGATAAATTTTAGAAAAAGAAGATTTTTGAGAGTATCCTTTATTCTGAGAAGGGGGTCATCGTTCAGGTCGAGGGTCCTGACCAAGGCATTGACTTCCTGAAACTACTTGTGCCAAAGTAGGGAGCACACGAGCCGAGGGTCTCGTTGCTGAGAATTTACTTAGCCATGCTAAGCTATGATATATGAGCGCTGAGAACCATGAAACGAGTGGCACCTCGTGGATTGGGCCTATTCGATCAGGTTGGGATCGAACCCGTGCCAATCACACGGTGACTGAGACAAAATTAAGTCAGGATAGTTGAAACTCCCAAAGTATAAAGAGAAGTAATTTTTTTAGAAAAAAGAAAAGATTTTTTTTTTATAATATTCATAAACTACTATTATGCAATTATTTAGAATTATTCTTATAAGCTTTACGTTTTACATGCATTTAGAACCTTTGCTCATAATGTATATGTTATTAAAGTTTTGCCCCTGTTGTTGAGACTCACTGAGTACAATGGATGGTACTAACGTTCTCTTTTGGGAACCTACGTTGGTCTGCGGTACAACGTAGGAACCGGATTTACAGGCGAGCCAGCTACGAGTTAGGACTTCCTTCTCTTCCAGTGCTATTGGTGAGCTCCGCTTTTGTTTGTGGAGTATTTCTTAGAGTCATCTTTATTTAGTTGTTTCTTTGTTACTTAGAGGACTGGCCAGGGAATCTCATGTCCTGAGCAGTGCATTAGTTTATCAGTAAAGGCTTCATAGATATAGTTGTTGGGTTAAGATTCAGATGTTTTTGATAATAACTTAGTAGTATTTCATTGGTTACTATGAATAAAGTTTTGGAGCTGATTTATTTAAATATTTAAATTAATCAAAAGTATTTGGTTAGAGTATTTCCTTGTTGCATATAAAGTTTGGAGTTATAATAGATTTGATAAGCAGGGTTGGTTCGCTCGGTCATGTTTAGTGATCGAGCGCCGGTCCCGGCTTGTTCAAAAAATGGGTCGTGACAAACTTGGTACAAGAGCCACAGGTTTATGGAGTCCTTGGGGTTTATGAAGCCGTGTTAGTAAAGTCTTGTTTATGTGTATGAAGCGCGCCATACTTATAAACAGGAGGCTACAAACATTTAGGAAAAGTCTTTTTTTGTCATACTTTAGATCGTGCAATAGAGTCTACCTCTAAGAAATTATCTAATTTATTCATTTCTCCAAAACTCGCAAAAATGGCTCGTACTCGCAACTCTGACACCGATACTCAGGATGCTGCTCAAGAAACTATCGCTGCTAGTGTGGCTCAAGGTAGAACTAAGAAGGCTTCGACTCAGAAAAGGAGAGGAAAATCCACAAAGGGAGTCCAAATACCTCGGGTTGAACGAGAAGAAGGGGTGGAGCATGATGATCCAGTACAGCCCCCAACAGCAGCCCCGGCTCAGGAAACTATATTTCCCGAGATGGGTCAGATGTTTAATGTTGTCAACAGTGCTATGGAGATGTTTAAAGCATTTATGGCAAACCAGAACGAGAGAAGAGATGAGATTCCACCTCAATCAAATAGACAGAGCAATTCTGAGTCCTCATGAGTGAATGAATTTTTATAGTTGAGTCCTCCAGTGTTCCATGGTTCTATAGTTGATGAAGATCCGATGTTGTGGCTGGAGGGTGTCAAGAAAGCCCTCCGAGTGATGAAAGCATTTGATGATGAAGCTGTGGAGCTAGCTGCTTACCAGCTTAGAGATGTGGCCGGCACTTCGTTTGAGATGTGGGAAAAGGAAAGAGATAAAGATGATGGTCCGCCTACTTGGGAAGAATTTGAAGAGGTCTTCATGGCTAACTTTATCCCAGTAAGGATAGGGAAGCTAAGGCTACAGAGTTCGAACAGCTCAAGCAAGGGAATAAAAGTGTGCAAGAGTACTACATGGAATTCATAAGGTTAGCTAAGCATGCTCCTCACATGGTGAAGACTGAAAAAACAAAGATTCGCAGGTTTGTTGGCGATTTAGCTTACCACATTAAGGATACGATATCAGCTGCAGCAGTAGGGATGGAAGCCTTCTCCTCTGTTGTGGGATTTTCCAAGCACTTAGATAAAGACAGACAACTAAGGAGAGAAGAAAAAGAGCATAACAAGAAAGCCCGGACAACGGGCAAGTTTAATGGTACATCCAGCGGAGGTGGAAGGGATTCCTCTAATAAGGAGTCATTAGCACCAGCTCAGTCCAGTCATCAGTCAGGTTGTGGGACTTCCTTCAGACGTACTCAGAGTTATGGAAATCAGTCTCGCCAGAATCAGAATTTTAGGACATCATCCTTACATAGCCAGAATCATGCTGAGCAACATTCACACCAGCAAAGTCTTTGTGGAACATGTAAGCGGCAACATTCAGGTCAGTGCAAGCTCGGGTTTCATGGTTTCTACCATTGTTGAGACATTGGTCATATAAAGGCCAATTGCCCAAAGTTACGACGTAATTTCAGTGGTGGATCAACTCGTCCTTCTAGTTCCTCAGCTACTGCAGTTGCACCCTCTCAGGCTCGTGGTTCTCATAATCAGATCGGGTATGTAGCAGGTAGAGGTGCAGACCAAGTTACTTAAGGATGGGGACAACCTCGTTTGTTTGCTACACTTGATCATCAGAGTGCAGAAGCATCTGCAGAAGTTATTACAGGTATACTTTTAGTCTGCTCACATAATGCTTATGCCATAATGGATCCAGGTTCAACGTTTTCATATGTGACTCCATACTTTGCAATTAACCTCGTACTAGAACCTGAACAACTTAGTGAGCCGTTCCTAGTATCTACTCCAGTTGGCGAGTCAGCGAAAGTCACCAGAGTCTATAGAGGTTGTATAGTTTCGGTCCAAGGTCGCAACACCAAAGCCAATCTCATAGAGTTAGAAATGGTGGATTTTGATGTGATCATGGGTATGGACTGGTTGTCTTCCTGCTATACGATGTTAGATTGTCATGCCAAGATAGTCAGGTTCCAATTTCCAAATGAAGAAGTCTTAGAGTGGAAGGGTAGTTCAGCATCGCTTGTAGGTAAGTTTATTTCTTATCTTAAGGCACATCGAATTACCGGTAAGGGGTGTCTCGCCTATTTAGCTCACATCATTAATCTAGAATCAGAACCACCAACTCTTCAGTCTGTGCCAGTTGTTAGAGAATTTTTAGAAGTTTTCCCAGATGACCTTCCCGGACTTCCTCCCGAAAGAATCATAGACTTCGGCATTGATCTCATGCCAGGCACTCAGCCCATATCTATACCTCCTTATAGGATGGCTCCAATAGAACTTAATGAGTTGAGAGAACAGTTGAAAGACCTTCTTGACAAGGGTTTCATCAGACCGAGTGTTTCACCGTGGGGTGCCTCGGTCCTGTTTGTCAAGAAGAAAGATGGGTCTCTCAGAATGTGTGTCGACTATCGGCAGTTGAATAAAGTTACCATTAAGAACAAGTACCCATTGCCAAGAATTACTGATTTATTTGATCAACTTTAGGGTGCAAAGTACTTTTCAAAAATAGACTTGAGGTTGGGGTACCATCAGTTGAGAATCTGAGGAGAAGATATATCTAAAACAGCCTTTAGGACTCGCTACGGGCACTATGAATTTCTAGTAATGTCCTTCGGGTTGACAAATGCTCCAGCTGCATTCATGGACCTCATGAACAGAGTTTTCAAGCCATTCCTGGATACCTTTATTATCGTGTTTATAGATGATATTTTGGCATACTCTAAGAGCAAGGAAGAACATGCAGAATACCTTAAAATAGCCTTGCAGACCTTGAAGGAGAATGAGCTTTATGCCAAGTTTTCAAAATGTGAGTTCTGGTTGCAGTCAGTAGCATTCTTAGGCCACGTGGTATCTAGTGAAGGAATAAAAATAGACCCTCAGAAGACAGAAGCAGTCAAGAACTGGCCTAGGCCGACAACGCCAACCGAATTCAGGAGCTTCTTGGGGTTAGCTGGCTACTATAGAAGGTTTGTAGAGGGATTTTCGTCACTTGTAGCTCCATTAACTAAGTTGACTCAGAAAGCAGTTAAGTTCCAATGGTCAGATGCTTGTGAGCAGAGTTTTCAAGAGTTAAAGAAGAGGTTGACCACTGCACCTGTGTTAACCTTGCCGACAGGTTCGGGTGGGTTCACAGTGTACTGTGATGCCTCCAGAGTGGCCTTGGTTGTGTTCTTATGCAAAATGAAAAAGTTATTGCTTATGCAGTTAAAGAATTATGAAAAGAACTACCCCACACACGACTTGGAGCTTGCAACAGTGGTGTTTGCATTAAAAATATGGCGACACTACCTTTATGGCGAGCATTCTGAAGTGTTTATAGATCACAAAAGTCTCCAGTATATTTTTAAGCAAAAAGAACTAAATTTGAGACAAAGAAGGTGGCTCGAGCTATTGAAAGATCATGACATCAATACCCTTTATCACCCGGGAAAAGCTAATGTGGTAGCAGATACACTTAGTAGGAAGTCAATGGGTGTCTTGGCCCATCTTGGTGTACAAAGGCGATCTTTGGATCGAGAAATTCAAAAACTAGCCAATGATGGAATTAGATTGGATGAGACCGAAGAAGGAGATATAACTGCTTATGCCTTAGCACAATCCTCCCTTGTGGCGCATGTTAAGGCTAAGCAAGACGAAGATCCGTACTTAGTGAAATTAAAAGAAGGAGTCAGAAACAAAGAAATCACTACTTTCACTCTAGGAAGCGACAGAGTTTTGAAGTTGAATGATCGATTATGTGTGCCTGATGTAGATGGTCTTAGGAAGGCCATAATAGAGGAAGCTCACAATTCGAGGTACTCTATCCACCCAGGTGCTACCAAAATGTATCTAGATTTGAAAGAGTTATATTGGTGGAAAGGCATGAAGAAACAAGTAGCAGATCATGTGGCTAAATATTTAAATTGCGAGCAAGTCAAAGCCGAGCATCAGAGGCTAGGTGGCCTAGCTCAAGACATAGAGATACCACAGTGGAAGTGGGAGATGATTAATATGGATATCATAGTAGGTCTACCTCGCACATACTGTAAACATGATTCAATTTGGGTTATTGTAGACCGACTGACAAAGTCCACGCATTTCCTACCAATAAAGACGACAAACTCCGCAGATCAGTATGCAAAGTTGTACATCAAAGAAATAGTCCGATTACATGGTACTCCAGTTTCAATCATATCTGATAGAGGCCCTCAGTTCACGGCGCATTTTTGGCAGGCATTTCAGAAAAGATTAGGTACCAAGGTCAATTTAAGCATCACTTTTCATCCACAGACCGATGGCTAGGCAGAAAGGACCATTCAGACTCTCGAAGATATGCTGCGTGCATGTGTTATAGATTTTAGAGGTAATTGGGATGATCACTTGCCACTTATAGAATTTGCCTACAATAACAGCTATCAGGCCAGCATTGGTATGGCTCCTTATGAAGCGTTGTATGAGCGGAGATGTAGGTCTCTAGTGGGTTGGTTTGAACCACCAGAGGTGTCGTTGATTGGTCCAGAGTTTGTTTGTGAGGCCTTGGAGAAAGTTCAGCTAATTAGAGAAAGACTTAAAGCGGCTCAGAGTTGTCAAAAGTCTTATTCTGACAAGAGACATCGTGAGTTAGAGTTCATAGTTGGTGATAAGGTGTTTTTGAAAGTTTCACCAATGAAAGGAGTTATGAGGTTTGGTAAGAAAGGAAAACTTAGCCCTAGATTTATAGGACCTTATGGAATTCTAGAAAAGAAAGGAAACATGGCTTATAAGCTAGCGCTACCCGTTGAGCTGTCCTCTATTCATCCTGTCTTTCATGTGTCTATGCTTAGAAAGTACATTCATGATGAGTCGCATATAATACCTGCCGATACTATAGAAATTAAAGAAGGCTTGACTTATGAAGAGGTACCTATAGAAATTCTCGATAGGCAAGTAAGAAAGTGATAACAAAATATTTAGCATCGGTAAAAGTTTTGTGGAGTAATCATGATTCAAAAGAGGCTACATGGGAGGTCGAGGAAGATATGAGAAAGAAATATCCATATTTATTTGAGGAAAAAGGTATGTGAACCTAAGTTTGGTTTGACATTTATAATTTATTTATTAAATACAAATTAGCAAGTGTTTCTGTCCTTCCTAGATTATGCTTTGTTGTTGTAGTAAGTTAGTTATGCAGTAGTATATTTAGTTCATTAAAGTGATTTACTTGTGCTAAACTTGTTGTGCTTTAGATTCTTGTTAGTTATTGTAGTACCTCCTTGCCGGAGTGTGAGTAATTAATTTATGAGCTGCGTATGGTGCCTATGAATGGCCTGTTATGGTATATTTGGTTGTTGTTGATGTAGTTGTGGCATTTGTGACAGGGATATCTTTTTGGATAGTCCAATTTACAAGGGAAACTCTGCCGAAAATTTTGAAAATTTAGGGAGTTAGCTAAAATTTTGAGTTCCTTGGAATAATGAGTAGTGCTAAGAAACCTTAAGAGGTTCAAGGACCTAAGGGATAATTGTTAGCTTAAGAATAAGGCACTAGCAACATTCGAGGACGAATCTTTTTAAGGAGGGAAGATTGTAACACTCCTCAAATTTATAAAAAAGTTTCGAGACACACTAATTATAGAATTAAATTATTTTTATTTTTATTTTTTCCTTCTTGCCTATAGTGAAATATATATATATTTACATACACCCACTTAAATAATTGGATATATAATTAGGAAAATATTAATAATTTTAATATTATTAATTATTAAAGGTGGATATCATTAATTATTAGTTAAATTAAAA